TTCGATTTACGCACCCAACGCCGTCGGCCTATAGGCGCCGTATTAAATTATTTCAACAAAATTTTACGATATTTTTTCTTATTTTCACAAAATCCTTTTTTGGTAAATCAGTTTTATCAACTTAAAAAACCCTCCTCACGGTTACCGTATGAAAACAACCTACGGCTTGTTTTATCCAAGACCACTGCCAAGGAAACTCCTGCCGTCGAACTATCGGTCAAAAAATACGAACAGGGAAACTCGCCTAAATCTTCGAATGTTTTCATGAAGCTGATAGTCTTCAGGGAGTTGGCTCACACGAGGCCTGGAGTGCATTTTTTAATATTGAAGCTATTTTACACCTACGTTGTAATCTATTATGAAGCACTTTAAATTAGGGACGTAAACAACGACCACGCTCTTTCGAAATTGTATCAATAAAGGGGACTTTAAAAAATCTACTGTACGCCAAAAACGTTTTCCGTTTTTAATTATGATGTATTTGGTCACAAGTCTTATTGATTTATTTTATTAGATAAAAAACTTATACGATATATTAGAGTGAAGCCTTGGTCACAGTGCCTTAGAATCAAGGTTGTGGCTACATATCTCGAAAATAAAACGAGTTGGCAACGCCGATTTTGCAGAAAAGAATACAAAGGAATTAAATAGAAGCTCACTTTTCAGTACCGGCAGCCACGGTTTGGAAACGATTGTTAACGGAGACCGCGGTGGGGTTGTGCAAGCCCACAACCCAGACTGCTTTCACCTTCTATGGATGGAGGTAAGCTTGAACTAGAATACTAACCAGAGGATCTAATTCAAAAGATGGCGGTAACAAGAGGAGGAGAACACGGCCATCCGAGAGTATAGACACAAGTCCCCCTAGTGTTGGCGTCCAAAATAACCGCTGGCAATAGGTTGAGGCGTCCAAGTAAGTTGTGGCTGTAGAAGAAGAGGATTGACCACTTAAAAAAGTTAAAGATGCGTTATTGGCACCGAAACCGCTTTTGAATTAGGTGCCAGGAGTTGGTATATTAACTTTAACGGCGCAGCAGAAACTGCGACTTGGAAGTTGGTCAACCGGCGGGGAGCGTGCTGATGTTGATTAAAACTGATGTGCAAATGGATCCTTCCTGGTGTGGCCGCCAAAGTTTGCTAACGTTTTTTCTATACCATAGGTTGTTTATGTTATGGTCATACACATACAACTGACACCAAAACTAACAAAGCAGATACTAAAATCGTCACCTGTGCCCTCGGATAACAAATTAGTTTCTCCATTGTTCAATGAGAGACCAGACGACTGGAATGCATGCGATAGTTGGTCAAGCAGGCAGTGCATTTCCTCCACAATGTATACTTGATGCGATGCCGTGGATATAATCAGGGTCCGAAACGAAATAATGTCCAACCTTCACGCCCCTGTAGTAGTGAGACGCTGTGGACAAAAAGCCGCATAGTTTACGAGGACTGGCGGCGGGACACAATCTTGCCGAACACCAGCGTTGACAACTCGCTCTTTTTATCGTAAGCCTGGACGGTTGCCTAGATGCACAGGTGCGGACATTCTAGTAAGAGTTCCCCTGTTTAAGGAAGTAAGTTAGCACGCATACTTAACAGTTGGCGCACAGTCTGGACACGCCGGTCCTTGCAAACGCAGTAGCCTGAGTCGAATCCCGCAAGTTGTTGGTTATCATGAAGGATAATCGAAATATTATGCAGATGAGGTTCCCAGTCCTTCTCGTCTTATGGGTGGAATGCCAAACTGTAAGGTGACGATAGAGAACTAAGGGTTATTGGACGATTGGTAATATTCACCATGTCGTAATATCCCTTTTTTCATATGTAACTGATTTGCTATATCTATGCCCCACCACGCATTTAGATAGTACAACCATATGGTTTGCGGCTGCATATTCGTCAAGCCCAATAACTTTAGCATTCCGCAGATGGTCACTCTATTGGCATCCGCTTGTGGGCGCGCCGTGTAACGCGCAGCTAGGCCAAGGAGCGAACACCGTGTTCTCAAGTTACGGAGTTCGTTGCATTGTCCTTGTTTCTGTCTCAGTGATTATCTTTGCGGTTGGATGGATGACCAGATAGGCCAATGAAGTGTCGGAATGTGCACAAACATTGTAATCAGACAAGGCGGACTGGGCATATATCGGCTAGGCTTCATAGTACTGTACCTCCAGTGCGCGTGACGAGCTCGCATATGTTCTATCAGAGCAATTACGATGTTGTTTGGTATTTACCTATCTCTGCAATAAATGAAATGGATGTAAAGCACGTGGGGCAGTTCCGTATTCGATAGTGTTACAGGAAACGATGTAACAGATAGAAGTGAGCAACGCCTTTGAAAGCAACTCGAGTAACAGTGAGACAGCTTTCTTTCCTAGAAATCGTCACGCTTGCATCTCGTAGAGAGGCCCTGAGGATATTAGGGCAATTTCAAACTGAGTATTGAAGTCAACTAAATACCTGACTCATTTCAGGGATTCGGATGGCAATTTGATCACTTAATCGCTTTTTTGAGGAGGTGGTATTCCTCGCGTACGTAAGTATGTTTGCAGAGGTAAATAAACTTTCGTAGACAGTTACTGCAGATTGGGTGTTTAAACCGGTTGGTGTAAGTTAACACAGGACCACAGTCTCCATTTTTGTGGAGTGTGTGAAGTTGATGGACTCGGAGACAACGATTTTCAGATGCTGTCACAGGTCCGCTGTGGTTGTGGTGTTTACTAAACATTCGTACGCCGGTAAAAGGCTATGAATTTTAGACGTGACTACCTTCGTTCCAGTCTACATACGTTCAGTATTCAAGGGCTACTTTTGATCCCAGGTTGCCTTTCATTCTAAGTGCCTATAAGCACGGCGGAAAATATGCAGAGGGAGAGCTAAGGAGGGAGTACTAGACCCTGCTTCACTGCATTGGTCCCTGTGAAGAAATCCGAAGTTCATCCATCGCACGCCGTCATATCCTCCTCACTATATGCGTGAACCTTGCTGGACATTAGAGTTTCACCAAAATTTTCCGGAGTTCATCGTAGTTCGCAGTATCGGGAACCTCTATGAGATCGCCAAAGGTGGTGCAAAGGCTGCTACTTTTTGACATCAACTGCATACATAGAAGACAACGTCAGTTGTTCCACTGTGCTTATGGAATCCGTAAATCCCTTGGAAGAAGTCGCTGTTCCAGACGGTGACCCAAGGAATTAAAAAGAACGAGGAGGAATACGCTGCTAGCAAGAATTGTCTTCTGCACGGATAGTGGGTAATTAAGATCAGCATTGATTTCATCTTGCGAATCTGTTGAGGGCCTTTCTCCTCCAATTTTAGTACTGTGAAACAAACTGGTTGTAAAAGTTCGTACTTACAATTTTAATAAATGAATAAGGCGGTAATGGGTTGAACAGCTTAGGACTTCTGCTAATTGACGTTA